GTGGAAGTTCAACTTAACAGTATCCACTGAATATTTTGTGTGTATCAAAACATTGTTTGGAACCTCGCATTTTTTTTGTTTGGAACATTGGACAAACTTATGTGCCTTGATATCTGGTGGGAGATTGTTGGATTATAGATGGGCCTTGGTCCATATACGACAATAATCCATGATTAATCTCTAACGCCCATTTAGGTGCATGACACGTGGTGGAAAGTTTAATACCATACTGCTATAGTAGTAAGATTAAGACCCCTTTATAAGGGCTGCTTTACCACATGTATTTGGGAGCTTGGCAAGAGGAGCTGTACACACGCCCTCTTTCTCCTCCGCCGCCCTCTTCGTCTCGCCTCGTCATGAATGATTAATTAATTGTGGATTGATTAACGAGTCGCTAATGGAAGTGCCATTGTCCGAGACGTTGGACCGTGGGCTGTTTGCGGACTCGGTCGTGGGCCTAAGCCCAGGCCCATCTACCCGACGGTCTATATAAGGAGGCACTGGCTTCTGGAGTGAACCCTAACCCACTCACTCCCTCCTACATAACCCTAGCCGTCATCTACTATTCATCTGCCTGTGCTGCTTCCGGCGATCCCATCTCGACGACCGCGTGCACGGTTGGTCGGGAGAGCAGATGCCTCTGGAACCCTGTCATTGAAGATCCTGCCTAGAAGAACGACAATAAGATTTTTTGGGGGCGTCTTAGTGCGATTGCTCCCGATCTGTCCCCGTCTCCGCCCACCTCTGCTTCCACTACTTCTCCTGCATCAACACCATGGTCGACTACGCCGCCGCCAAGAAGAAAGCCACGGACGATGCCGAGGCTGCTGCCGCAGCCACTGCGTTGGCCTGGCTAACCAGAGGGTATGATTTTTTTCATCCCTAGTTTACTCGTTCATGTGCTAGTCGTATATGTTGTGTTCATAGATGTTTCGATTCTATGTACTATACGTGCTCACATGCTTAGCTATCGGTATGAGTTGCATACCGTGATTGCCATGCTTACTGTTTACTTCTGGATTAGTTTTTTATATTTCCAACAAAAAATGTATTACCCTTTTTGATTGAAGAGGCAACTTGTAATTTCCATCAAAATATGTAAACTTTTTTTTGAATACAAAAAACTGTATTACCCTTTTTGATTACAGTTTTGATAAAGCACATCTAGATGTGCCATAAGTATTGCACATCTAAGTTCTATGTCATTAATCTTACGTCGTGATTTGTGTGGATATTTCCTTTTTCTTTTTTCTTTTTCTCTTTATGCTTTATCCACTCACTTAGATGTGCAATAATTAGAGCACATCTAGATGTGTCCTAGACACACCCTTTTGATTAAAGGGGCTGTACGAAGCAAAGTTCATCGAGCAATTGAAAAATAGCAAAGATGATTGAAATGTCACGAATCCTCCCGAAGTTTTTTCTTGATAGTTGTTGTTGTTGCAATTGGACCCTGCATATATGCATCCATCAACGGAACTCTGTGCTGGTTAGCTCACTGACCACCCACCCTTCCATCTCGCGCATCAACTCCGTTTGAACCCAATGCGGCCCCGCCGGGAAACCGCAATAGAGATTCTCAAGAACGGCAGCGTTGCGGAGCAAGAATCTGGCCAACGTCCTTTGCGCCCTGCCGCCTTGGTAATGCACCAGCTCGATCTTCCTCACCCGGCTCCCCAGGCATGGCGGCACCATCGCGGGTGCCAACGCGCAGTCGAGGCTGTCGTACTCGCAGTAGTGGAGACGGTGCGCGTCAAGGAGCTCCCCCTCGCTACGGCGGCCGACGTAGGCGTGGTGATCGAGTCCTGAGTGCCACTGCCACTCCGTTTCACGGGGCGCTTCTTCTTCAAAGAAAAGGGTCAGTAGCTCCAGGTTCGGGGTTCGCCGGAGGATGCTGCACGGCGGGGTCGTCGTTGCGCGGCACGCTTCCGGCCAACTCGAGGTGGCGAAGGGCGGGGAGCACGGGGAGATCCGCGAACCACGAGCCCATGCGAGCGGAGCATAACTGGAGGTGTTTCGCGGTCGAGGCCAGCTGATGCAGGAACGAACCGAGCTTGACGAGCTCCCCCGCCTCCTCGAGGGGGTAGATCGTGCAGATGTCGACCTTGCACGACGTGACGGACGGAAGGCCGCCCACGGTGAGGATCGAGGTGTCGGGGACGGCGCCACGGTACTCGAAGGAGTGGAGATCCGGCGTGTCGACGGCAAGGCTGGATAGGTTGTGGCAGCACCGGAGCGCGAGCCTGCGGAGGTGTGTGTTGTCGAGGAGGGAGACCGCGGTCACCGTGCCACAAGCCTCGAGCGTCAGGTCGGCCAGGCGCGGACAGCCGGAGATCAGCCTCTGCACATGCTCCTCCTCGTCTTCGAGGATGTGGGTGAGGTGCAGGGCCTCGAGAGCTGGCAGGCTGATGGCTGCCGGCGGGGAGAGCCTGCAGTAGCCTAGACGGAGCGATCGCAGCGCGGCGCAAGAGAAGAGTCCCCTCGGGACGGTGTAGGTGAACTCTCCAGACGGCGGATTCCACGATCGAGCTGCCGTCTCCTCATCGTCGCTGGACGGGACATCGTCTTTGGGGTGCGCGCGGAGGGAACGGTTGTCGTCGGGGTCAGACTTGGGAGGATTCCCGGCGACGGCTTGATTCCCAACAAGGCCATCGGCGGCGACATCGTCATGGGAGGGGTGGAGGCTGCAGGGGCCACTGCAGATGGGGCCGCGGCCAAGGCGGAGGTCGAGCCCGAACTCTGGGGCGGCATGCCACAGGGCGTAGGAGACCCACTGGTCCACCTTGGACCCGTCTTCGGGGCAGTATCTTTCCATGGATACGCGGAGCGCGCGCAGGGGCGCCGAGGCGGCGGCGGGGGACGGGCGACTGTTGCGGGAGAAGAGGGCGGCGGTGACGTCGGCGATGAACCGCGCCTTGTTGCGGTCGTACCGGCCATCGTAGCCGTAGCCCAAGACGGGCCGTCCCAGCGGCTCCATGGACATGGAGACGGTGTGGACGCTGGCCATGACGTGGCGCCACCGCGACGAGAGCGTCGCGGCGCGAGCGGCCTCCCTGGTTTCGAGGAAGGAGAGGATGTGACCGAGTACGCCGTCGCGGAGGTTGCTCAGGCGGTCGCTTCCGGCGTCGGCGGCGATCTGCGAGTCACCCATCGCGCGCGGCGCCGATCGATCTGCGAGATGCGGAAGTGTATCCGCGTAGAGAAATAATAGACGTTCTCTTCCCAAACAATTCCGATTTCTTCTCAAAACTTTCCTAAAACAATTCCTACATTAGATAAAAAATTAACGATTAATGTTTGTTTATCCATGCGATTACAAACTCTTTAAATTTAGGAAAGTAAAACATAGCCTAAAGCGAGCCCTCTCAGCGATTTGCTTTTCTAGCCGTCGGTTCACAATATAGACGTTTCTAACCGTTGGATCTTCTGTATACAGCCATCTGTCAAATCCTGGCCCTGATGTTCTATGTACTACTATTACATAGGCCAAAACGACGGCTATGGTAAACTGGACCGTCGGACAACCCATTCCAGCATTTCATTAAAGTATGTCCGGCTTCACTAAAGGGGACTCTGCCCACTGCAGCCAGCCGATTTAGTTTAACCGTAGTATACTGCTAGCCACGAATACCGCATCTCCTTCACGCCCGACACGAACGGCACCGTGGAAGGCTCCGCCACGGCGCGGCTGCCCATCAACCTCATGACCGAGCCGCACACCCCTTCCTACTCTAGGCGCTACCGCCGACCCAACGTCTTGTGCATATCATAGCACACAAGATGGACCCAATTGCCGATGCATATGGAACTCAACTCATCTGCATACGCTCATCAACTGTCTTGAGACATTGAATGCCTGGCTGACAGATCTAACCACATGGCTTTATATTCCTCAATCAAAAATATATCTGACTAACGTCTCACATTTAGGAATAATATTGTGCGCATCAATGGGATGAGAAACCGGGGTTAGTCGGGACTATGGTGAAATGGTTTTCTAGAAACATGGAGGGTATGATTTGGTCCCTGGCCAATGGGCACAGGCTAAAGCTTTGCCCCAATAAGAAACCCCTCTTCGTCGTGTTTTTGTCCAATTAGAAAGATATTCTGCTATTTGACCTGTCCTTGTTAGTATAGCATTGAGCATCCTGATATTTCCATATAGGTCGGGGAGTAGCCAGGTAACACGGACCCCCCGGGAGTGCTCGCACGACATATGGGCTGACCCATATTCACGGTTTAGAGAGCCTTTCTTCCATATGTTTTGGTAAGGTTTTAGATATTCACAAGTATTTTTCATCAACTTCTTTTCTTTTGGTTTTCTCGGTTTTTGTCTATTTCCTTTATCTTTTCCCTTTCCTTTCCTTTTTATTTTTCTATTTTAATTTTACTTTAAAAAATTTATGAATATTTTTGCAGTCCCACAATTTTTAGAATATGTTGACATTTCTTGATTTCATGAATAGTTTATGAATTCATGAATGTTTCTTGAAATTCACAAATATTTTTCTAATTCGGGAACATTTTTTCAAGTCACGAACATCTTTAAAATTCATGACATTTCTTTAACTTTTGGTCTATGAGTTCCGTGATTCTTTTGTATTCACAAACTTTTGTTGAAATTTGTGTCATTTTTTAAATTTTCAAACAAATTTTCAATTCATGGATTTTTTTAATTTGTGATTTTTCTAAAAGTTGTGAATATTTTTCTATTTGCGATTTCTTTAAATTTAAAACATATTTTTAATTCATGCACATATTTTGAAATCCTTGATAGTTTTAAATTGAGAGCATTTGTAAAATTCCTGAACACTTTTACATTCCAGAACATTTTTTTGTCGTAGAGAAAAAAAAAGAACAGCACGCATAGGCCCGGCCCAAAAACGCTCGCGTCCAAACCCAAACCGACACATGTACGAACCCGTCCCCTAAAAGGAGACCCAACACGCATCGTGACCGCGATCGCGATCGCATCGCCGCTATTGCCGCCGACGTAGACGATGGCCGGCGGCGTTGACCGCCTGTCCGACCTTCCCGACGAGCTCCTCCTGCGCGTCCTCCACTTCGTCCCAGGCAAGCAGGCCGCCGCCACGACCGCGCTCTCGCGGCGATGGCGCTCGCCCCTCTGGCAGTCCTCAGGCGCCGTAAACCTGGAGACGGACGTCGAGGACTGTGGCTGGGACAACGACCTCTCCTCCTCCCGGCGCGACGCCTTTGTGGCCGCGGCCGAGGCGGCGCTCGACGCCGCAGACGTCCCCGTCACGAGGCTCACCCTTCGTGTCACCGGCAAGGGCAAGTCTATCGACGTATTCCTGAACGGCCGCTGGGATGTGAAGTTGCCTCTGTCGTCGTCGTCGCGGTACCACGGCGCGCTCGCCAAGTTGCTCTCCCACCGTGCGGTGAGCCGCGTCGAGGAGCTCCGGCTCGACGCCGAAGACTCTGAGTCCGACCGCCGCACGTACGGCGCCTGCTGGGAGGCCTGCTCGGACGATGAGATCAACCTCAGCTCACTCGGCGTCTACGTGTTCAACCTAGGCTTGGTGCCGTCGGAGAACCTCCGCATGCTGGACCTCACCAACTGCAGCGACCTTGTTCCGGCGGCCTCTGCGGTCGTGTTCCCGCGCCTTTCGTCGCTGCGGCTGCACCATGGCACCGTGCGGCTCGACGCCCTCCAGAGCCTCATCTACGCCGCGCCTGCACTCGCCACCGTCCACTTTGAGTCCGTCATCATCTTACCACCAACAGACAGGGAGCCGGACTCTGGTTCGCCGATCTACCACCAGTGGGACTTCATTAACACTTCCCTTCTACCGCCGGCAGAAGCCCTGCTCCGGCTCCCAGCGGCCACCGTGCTCGCCCTAGAGAGGTGCAACTGGAAGAACAGCGATGGCTCGCTGCGACACTACATAGTGGACAAGGCCGGCATTGTCCCGGCGGAGATCGACGCGCCGAGGCTACGTCGCTTCAGGTATAAGGGGGTTCTCCGGCCGTTCTCTCTGAGCCCGCCGCCGCCGGACTTGGCACATGCCGACCTGCATTTTGTGCCGCGCGCCCGCAATGATAGAGTGAACAAAATTCTGAGCCGCCACAAGCAAACCGACGAGGGCAACCTCGAGAGCTTTTGGCGATTCCTTCACAACGTCGCCGGTGTGAAGGAGCTGAAGCTAAACGTAAACCCCCTCGAGAGGACATGGCTGTGCTCAGCGAGGAGAGGAGGGCTGAGCTCCTGCCTACCTTCTCCATCCTCCAGCGCCTTGAATTGCACGGAGTGCACAGGCCCAAAGGTAAGACGGTGGCAGTGGCGATCGCGAACCAGCTCCGCTGCTGCCCCATGCTCCACGACCTCCGGATCAACCTCACCGCGGACCATCACTACCTACACTACTGGCGCGAGCACGATGATGAAAACTGCTTCCTCGAAAGGAAGTTCAGTGCTGACCGTGAAAAGTCCATCGATCTTCTAACCCGCCATCGAAACTCAAAGCCGACGGCGATGTCACCTGAAGGAAATGATGCCGCCAACTACAACGAGGTCTCCGAGATCCCTGGCCTGAGCCAGCACTCGTTCGACTGCTTAGGGAGCTCTCTGGCGAGAGTGGCCTTGCAGTTTCGGCTTGGGGCGGCGAATTGTCTTGGTGCCAAGCTGATAAAATTCTTTGCCGAGAACGCCATGGTTCTTGAAGAAATGTTTATCGAAGACGGGAACACGAAGTTGTGGGAGCACATTAGCTACAAGGTTGAGAAATTGATTTCTGATTCATCCATAAGGAGGAAGCCTGGAGCGTCAAGCTTTGTTGTGTTGCCCTTACGAGGTGATTTGACTATTAATAGTGAGAATTAATTTTGATGTAATTATTTCCAAACATTATGTTTGAGCGGGTAATTGGTTTCACTTCTAACATTAATTTCAATACCAAAATTTTGATCTTGTAAAAGGTAATTTTGCATTTTGGTCAAAATACTTCAGCGGAGTACAAAAAATTTGAGCCAGTTCCAAACTTTTGTCTTAAATTGATGTTGGACACAAGAAATTATAATTCCATTTGTTTTAGTGGTGCCACAAATATTTTTGAAACCAAAAGACTATGTCAGAACTGTTGTTGACTCGTGGTTAGGTCTAGAAAATCTCTTTATATGTCATCTTATTTACTAGCTCCGTCCAAAAATAAAAATAAAAATTAGTTTATTTAAACTGCGAAAAGCGTCTCATATTTTAGGACTAGGAAACATCACGCACTGACCTCTGCGCCAGCAAACTTTCCACGGTGCTGCTGGTACATATGGCTGCCGGCCACCGCCTGCGCTCGACAAGGAGAATAAGCGCATGCACTAGACCCTCATCCGTAGGATCCAAACTAGCCCATCAAGTGCATTACCTTTTTACAGGATAGATTAGTGTGGGGCGGTGAGAAAAGTCATTTTTCTCAGCCAATATAGGCGCTGGCGCGCCGGTCCAATCTTTCGGCCGGTCGCGTCCTTACCGTTCAATTCGGGTCTCGCGAACCGTTTGATCTCTCTGTATTCACTTCGTTCCTGCCCCGCATCGAGCCTTCCTTCCTCCAACTCGCTCCGGCACAAGCGCCGCCAGCCCCCGCCACACCGTCGCGCGAGTCAAGCGAGCTCGCAGCACCTCCGCACCGCCAATTCGCTGTCGCTCGCCACCCTCGCCCCGCTTACAAAAATTGCTTCCATGGTCCACCGGTTCCAGCATCTGGCAGTGCTGATCCCAGCAAAAAACAACCGATTGCAGCAAAACGCAGTCCCCGCATCGGCACCCGCCTTGAAGTCGCCGCACTGCCAACGCCGCCTGGCACCCAGCTTGCCGCCGGTAGCAGCACCACTGTGGAACGGTTGCAGCTTCTCCATTCATAGTTCCAGCACCGCCCCCCGACAATGGATGTAGCTTTCCCCAGTGACGGTTGCAGCTCCGGCAAACGCGGATGCAGCTTTTTGCCGTCGGTCGCATTGTTCAGTGCTGTCCTTCCAGCTTTCTGCATCACTGGTTCCAGCAAAAAAATGTGCTGGTTCCAGCATTTCCGCGGGTCGTTAAATCCTGGGCGCCGCCGTCGGTAGCTTCCTTCATCCTTGGTTCCAGCAAAAGCATGTGCTGGTTGTAGCTTTTGCAGAGGCTCGCTCCAGCATCACATCTAGTTGTATCATTTACGGCGGCTGGTTCCAGCTTCACCGCTAGCTAGATCCAGCTCTTCCTTTGCCGGATGCAGCATTTGCGGTGCCCCAGTTCCAGCACCGCAGCGGTGCCCGGTTCCAGCACCGCAGCTGGCTGCATCATTTGCGGTGGCCGGTTCCAGCTCTGCCACTAGCCGGTTCCAGCTTTTCTTTTGCCGTTTGCAGCAAATCGACCTCGCCGGATGTGCAGTAGATGTTCGCCGTGGAAAAATGGTGGGAGGTTGAAGAAGGGCGGCGGGAATGGCCGTGAGACGGTGGTGGTGGTGGTTGGGGCATCTCACGACGACGAGCATGAAAGTAGGAGGAACTAGCGTGGCTATGAGACAATGGTGGTGGTCGGGGCTGTTGGGGAACGTTGCAGAAAATAAAAAAATTCTACGCTTCACCAAGATCAATCTATGGAGTTCATCTAGCAAGGAGAGAGAGGAGTGCATCTACATACCCTTGTAGATCGCGAGCGGAAGCGTTCAAGAGAACGGGGTTGAGGGAGTCGTACTCGTCGTGATCCAAATCACCGATGATCCTAGTGCTGAACGGACAGCACCTCCGCGTTCAACACACGTACGGTTGGGGAAGACGTCTCCTCCTTCTTGATCCAGCAAGGGGGAAGGAGAGGTTGATGAAGATCCAGCAGCACGGTGGCGTGGTGGTGGATGCAGCAGCGATCTCGGCAGGGCTTCGCCAAGCTCTACGAGAGGGAGAGGTGTAGCAGAGGGAGAGGGAGGCGCCAGGAGCATGGGTGCGCAGCCCTCCCTCCCCCTCTTTATATAGGGCCCCTAGGGGGGGGCGCCAGCCCTAGGAGATCCAATCTCCAAGGGGGGGGACGGCGGCCAAGGGGGTGGCTTGCCCCCCAAGCCAAGTGGAGGCGCCCCCACCCCTAGGGTTTCCAACCCTAGGCGCAGGGGGGCCCAAGGGGGGGGGGTGCACCAGCCCACCAGGGGCTGGTTCCCCTTCCACTTCAGCCCATGGGGCCCTTCGGGATAGGTGGCCCCACCCGATGGACCCCCGGGACCCTTCCGGTGGTCCCAGTACAATACCGGTGACCCCCGAAACTTTCCCGATGGCCGAAACTTGACTTCCTATATATAATTCTTCACCTCCGGACCATTCTGGAACTCCTCGTGACGTTCGGGATCTCATCCGGGACTCCGAACAATTTTCGGGTTACTGCATACTAATATCTCTACAACCCTAGCGTCACCGAACCTTAAGTGTGTAGACCCTACGGGTTCGGGAGACATGCAGACATGACCGAGACGACTCTCTGGTCAATAACCAACAACGGGATCTGGATACCCATGTTGGCTCCCACATGCTCCTCGATGATCTCATCGGATGAACCACGATGTCGAGGATTCAAGTAACCCCGTATACAATTTCCTTTTTCAATTGGTACGTTACTTGCCCGAGATTCGATCGTCGGTATCCCAATACCCCGTTCAATCTCGCTACCAGCAAGTCACTTTACTCGTACCGTAATGCATGATCCCGTGACCAAACACTTGGTCACATTGAGCTCATTATGATGATGCATTACTGAGTGGGCCCAGAGATACCTCTCCGTCATACGGAGTGACAAATCCCAATCTCGATCTGTGTCAACCCAACAGATACTTTCGGGGATACCCGTAGTATACCTTTATAGTCACCCAATTACGTTGTGTTGTTTGGTATACCCAAAGCATTCCTACGGTATCCGGGAGTTACACGATCTCATGGTCTATGGAAAAGATACTTGACATTGGAAAAGCTCTAGCAAACGAACTACACGGACTTGTGCTATGCTTAGGATTGGGTCTTGTCCATCACATCATTCTCCTAATGATGTGATGCCGTTATCAATGACATCCAATGTCCATAGTCAGGAAACCATGGCTATCTATTGATCAACGAGCTAGTCAACTAGAGGCTTACTAGGGACATGTTGTGGTCTACGTATTCACACATGTATTACGATTTCCGGATAACACAATTATAGCATGAATAACAGACAATTATTATGAACAAGGAAATATAATAATAATCATTTTATTATTGCCTCTAGGGCATATTTCCAACAGTTTCCCACTTGCACTAGAGTCAATAATCTAGTTACATTGTGATGAATCAAACACCCATAGAGTTCTGGTGTTGATCATGTTTCGCTCGTGGAAGAGGTTTAGTCAACGGATCTGCGACATTCAGATCCGTATGCACTTTGCAAATATCTATGTCTCCATCTTGAACATTTTCACAAATGGAGTTGAAGCGCCGCTTGATGTGCCTGGTCTTTTTGTGAAACCTGGGCTCCTTGATAAGGGCAATAGCTCCAGTGTTGTCACAGAAGAGAGAGATCGGCCCCGACGCATTGGGTATGACTCCTAGGTCGGTGATGAACTCCTTCATCCATATTGCTTCATGCGCTGCCTCCGAGGCTGCCATGTACTCCGCTTCATATGTAGATCCCGCCACGACGCTTTGCTTGCAACGGCACCAGCTTACTGCCCCTCCATTCAAAATATAAACATATCTGGTTTGTGACTTAGAGTCATCCAGATCTGTGTCGAAGCTAGCGTCGACGTAACCCTTTATGACGAGCTCTTCGTCACCTCCATAAACGAGAAACATATCCTTAGTCCTCTTCAGGTACTTCAGGATATTCTTGACCGCTGTCCAGTGTTCCTTGCCGGGATTACTTTGGTACCTTCCTACCAAACTTACGACAAGGTTTACATCAGGTCTGGTACACAACATGGCATACATAATAGACCCTATGGCTGAGGCATAGGGGATGACACTCATCTCTTCTATATCTTCTGCCGTGGTCGGGCATTGAGCCGAGCTCAATCTCACACCTTGCAATACAGGCAAGAACCTTTTCTTAGACTGATCCATATTCAACTTCTTCAATATCTTATCAAGGTATGTGCTTTGTGAAAGACCTATGAGGCATCTCGATCTATCCCTATAGATCTTGATGCCTAATATGTAAGCAGCTTCTCCAAGGTCCTTCATTGAAAAACACTTGTTCAAGTAGGCCTTAATGCTGTCCAAAAGTTCTATATCATTTCCCATCAAAAGTATGTCATCTACATATAATATGAGAAATGCTACAGAGCTCCCACTCACTTTCTTGTAAACGCAGGCTTCTCCATAAGTCCGCATAAACCCAAACGCTTTGATCATCTCATCAAAGCGAATGTTCCAACTCCGAGATGCTTGCACCAGCCCATAAATGGATCGCTGGAGCTTGCATACCTTGTTAGCATTCTCAGGATCGACAAAACCTTCCGGCTGCATCATATACAGTTCTTCCTTAAGATAGCCGTTAAGGAATGCCGTTTTGACGTCCATTTGCCATATCTCATAATCATAGTATGCGGCAATTGCTAACATGATTCGGAAGGACTTCAGCTTCGCTATGGGAGAGAAAGTCTCATCGTAGTCAACCCCTTGAACTTGCCGATAACCCTTAACGACAAGTCGAGCTTTATAGATGGTAACATTACCATCCGCGCCCGTCTTCTTCTTAAAGATCCATTTGTTTTCTACCGCTCGCCGATCATCAGGAAAGTCTATCAAAGTCCATACTTTGTTTTCATACATGGATCCTATCTTGGATTGCATGGCTTCAAGCCATTTGTTGGAATCTGGGTCCGCCATCGCTTCTTCATA